CTTGGATCGAAGTCGACAGTGTCGAAGAGACAAGCTTGAAGAGGATAGAGCTGCCGAAGTTGCTGGTACGGGTGATCAGGATGCGAATAATCAAAGTACGCTTGGAGACCCTCCAACGTTGTACGCACGATCACCTCACCAGCTGGTTCAGGAGGCGTTAAGCTCAAGAGTCGCTCGAAACACTTTTGACGCCTGCGTCAGTAAACTCCATGTCCACATACGGAAGAACCCACGGTGGCAGGGTGGACGAAGCCGGCACCGTAGGGCGAATACCAGAAAACACTCGGTGAGGCAATGGCTCAACCGACGGTGCACCACCACGACGCGGCACCGAAGTGTAGGTTGCCGTAATCATGCGTCCAGGTCCAGCATCGATAGTCCAAATAGGCGGACGAGGAGACACTGGAACAGGAAGAGAAGATGCTGGTGCCGGAGGACTTCCTGGTGGCGAAGGAGGCGGACCGGCAACGATGATTGGGGAAGTCATCATCGGCGAAGGATTTGGCCGAGGTGGAGTCGGAGGACGAGCTGGGCCAAGATTGCTCCAATTTCAGTCGGAATCTTCGATATCTTCGTCATCAAGTGTGCTCGAATGATCGGTAGGTGGCGGAACATCACCGCCACCACTGGGGGCATCAGGAGAAACATCCACCGAAGGTTCATTGTCATCCACGTCATCTCCACGATCGTCATCAGCATTTCCATCGTCATCCATCTCCATCGAAAAGTCGAGCGAAGACACGCTTGGTACGACAGCTGTCAGAACAATCGGAGCCGGCTTTGAAGACACGGAGGCTGGTGGAGCAGCTTCAACAGGGGCTGGCCCTGCTGTAGAAACCACTCCCGATACTTCAACTGTCTTGGACATCGCAACGGACGCCGAAGCAGACTTGCCTTGTGGGACAGTGTGGTCCGACTCTCTACCTTCATCACTTGAGCCGAACATGAGTCGCATTTCCTCGGCCTCACGCAGAACTTCTTCAGCGGCACGTATGTCGGCTGGAGAAGGAGAGATCGTGGAAGCTGGGGGCTTGGCCACATCGGGAGGACCCTGAGGTGGGGGCGAAGGCGCGTCAGGAGAATCAGGAACATCGCTGTGATCCCCAGGGTCCACATCCTTACCCGAAGGCTCTGTGGCAGTTTTTTGAACCGAAGGGGCGCTGATTGGATCAGCATTCCCCATGTCCACGTCACTCTGGTCGCCGCTGAGGTCGACCACGGCAGGAGTCGAGGAAGACGCTGGTGTAGGAGGTGGCGACCATGAACTTGGAGAAGACGGTACAGACTTGGACCGAGTCTTCATATGACGACGGGGCGACTTGGCAGGAGAATGAGGACGAGATTTCTTGCGCTTCTTCTGGGCCGCCTTCTTCCACGCCTTCGGGCCGAATAGCGATCTACGAGCCGACTTGGGAGTTGAAGTATCGGCAGGTGGCGCATCGCCGAGACCAGCAGCTGTCATCGAAGTACTGGCCTTGTCCGTGGGGATTGGAGCCTTGGCTTCGTCAGAGTCGTCCGGCTCGTCGTCTGAATCCTCGCCACCTGGTCGAAGGCGCTTATGGGACAGAGGAGGAGAAGGAGGAGGCTACGGAGTCCATGCAGGAGCTCCGCCATTTCCAAGGCGTATTTTCGTGTTGGGAAGCATTTCAAGATGCCTTTGATAGGTAAACATGAAGTTGTGCATTGTTGTGAATTAATGAACGGTGTGCACTAATGTATCTCTATGCTCCCTTCAGCTATCAGCAGGAGACACACCAATTATACAAGATTCGCTTTTCATGGGCCACTTGGTGAGCGGCCTTGGCCAAAGCTGCAGGAAGGGCTTGAGGATCGTTCGAAGACGCGGTGGCAGACTGGATGCGCCGCAAAGCGACTAACGTTTCCTGATCCAAGTCCAGCGCGTCCAGGTCCAGCTCACCCGCAGTCAGACCTATCACGAAGGATTGTGAGCGAACGTTAGTTGCTGAACACACGGTGGAAGGAGCAACATTAGGAACGTACCATCAACAGCCAGACGAAGTACCTCGGGATCCATCTCACGTGTGCACGGAGGGTGCGATTCGCTTAGAGGAGGTGAGTGTTACGGTCTTGTTGGTTCTCGAGGACCTTGAGCGTGTCGTTATCAACATACTTGCCCTGGACAAGCTTTACCAGAAGGAGGTGAAGCTTCCGAGTCTGCTCGGTATTCGCTCCAATGGAAGAGTTGTACACCTCGCGTTCGCGAGCCAGCTTCTTGTGCAACGTGTTGATGAAAACGTCCCGAGCTTGGACCTCGCAGTGCAGACGATTCAAGTCTTCTGCGTGTCGCTCCATAGTGGCTTGAACAGTGGCGAGCATGGCATCGTTCTTGGCGTTCGACTCGCGGAGAATCTTGACGTTGTGGTGAAGGGCTTCGATCTCAGCGTTGGCAGCCTTGAGGAACGCCTCCGCGTTCTCACGAGCCATGATTTCGGGTGCCACCGAACGTACGGCGGCAGCAGCCTCGGACTGAGCAAACCGCAACTGACGCTCCAAGTTGGCAACTCGTTCGGGTAATGCCGACAGCGCGTCAGGAAGAGGTTGTACCGCAGCGAGGACATCATCGAAACCAACAGCAGTCTCGAGGCGACGTTGAGCGTGTACATCGCCGTGGAGAGGAGGCGCAACGCTGAGCTGCACTTGGTGACAAGCCATTGCAGTCAAGTACGGAATTATCGAGGTCATCATGTGATCGACCGATGCCTCCGTACTTTCAGCCAGCATGGCGCGCAGCGAATCTTCGGTGAGTGGTGGTGTACCACCAGCAGGCGCAGGAGGAGCAGCAGGAGCCATCTCCGCGGACTCAGCGACGACGGGAAGTGCTGCAGGAGCTATCGCAGGGAGTGAAGAGTCCGGGGCAGCAGGCGCCGGAGGACCGGTTGATGACGCTGCTGTCGGAGGAAGTGCAGCAGACTGAGGGGCGTTCGAACCCTCGGTCTTGCCCTCCTGGGAAACAAGTCGAGTAATGCGAGGTGATGAGCAAGGCGCCGATGATTCAAGAGAAGGATGAGCTGACGTACCTCCAGCTGTTCACGTTCGCGACGTCGACGAGGATTGAGACGCTGAAACGCGTCGGACACAGCTCGATTCAAACGCTTGGACATACGGTGACGAAATGGTGAATTGGAGAATGAAGAAATGTCACAACGGGCACCAGTACCGTGGCTTCCATTGCGACAGGGGCAGTTGTGGTGTAGTGATTTCTCCGTAGTTACGGATTATCACCCGTCGACAAAGACGTGACACCGCCCAAGATGTTCAAGCGACGAAACCTCGGTCATGTGATGTACGGAGACGCCAAGGTGCCAGGGACTCGACGGCGTCACTTCCGAACTTTCAACGAGCATTGGATACGGCCCATATGTCACTGAATCCAGGCTGTCCTTATTAATAATAATGGACTGGCCGGATTCGCATTCAGCGGACCATCTACGGTACGAACCCTCAGTGGCGGTTGGGATGAGTTCGCGGAAGACTCAGCGACCCTTGGAAGGCACGTTCACCGTATGGGACAGGGCGCGGACCGTTAAAGATGCTCATGCGACGGAGCGGACGACGCTTGGCATGCAAGAAGATCCATAACGGATCATTGTTCACTTGATATTTGTATACTTGATTAGGACTTCTTATTAGGAATAGACCCGAAAGGATAAGCTTAAATACAGAACAGAATTTCCACTCAAGCACACAGAGCGACGTCCGGCTTCAAGGTAAGCGTCAGGTCAAGCTTGTTTGAGTGTGTTATGCCTGTCGGTGAACTCGAAGCTCTGTAGCGAGGGCTCATCCGGCAAGGCCAAGAGACTTTGTGTATTGGCCGATTATTATCGGGAGGTTTTACGTGACGGCTTATTGTTGCCTATTTGCACGACTGGGAGTGCTTGAATTGCCTCCCTTTTATTTCTTCCAATCGAGTGTTGAACACTCGGTGATCTCGTAAAAGGCTTACCCGTGCCTGGTACCCTTCCACTGTTGGGACCACGAGGATTCAAAACACCTGCTAGCTTTGCTCGTGCTAGTAGCGTGTTCTTATTTTTACTGGTTGGCCTATATAAGTAGTTTACAAGGTCCAGTTTGTCCCGGTGCAAGGGCAGAACTGGGGTCTTCAGGTCCGCCCGAATTATCGTTTACTATCCTAGTAGACGTATTGTTGTGGGAACATCCTAACTACATGTGTAGCTAGAGTTCACGTGGGAATTCCAACACCACAGTCACATCAGACACGCTAGTGCAGCATCTTGGTAGTCATCATGCACGCGTGCCGTGCTGTATACATAGCGGATTAGAGACTGCAAATCCTCCTTAGAACAAGGAGGAGCCTTATTAATCAAGCCACCTTTTTCTCCTTTCATGCAATGCTTGTCTAGTGTCTTGCCTTGCTTGAGCAGTATTAATTCACTGGGCACACGCAAGTGTGGATACTGATCAAATAGCCATAGCTTCACATTTCTATGGTAGGAGGTCGCCTTATTACGTGCAAGCTTACCTTTCTTACCGTCGTTCGTGACAAGATAGAAGCCAAAGCGATCCATCGTCGCAGCTAACCGCTTGCCGGAGGTGTCCAAGCGAATGCTAAAGTCCTCCTCCTCCAGCATCCGCTTGAAAGCGGCAATCGCGGTGGTGCGCGCCTTCTGAGTGCTAGTAGGCACGAAAACGGCTAGGCTCATTAGATTCCTCTGCCTTTCTTAGCTGTCTGAACAGTGAGGAGGGCTCTCAATGTCATGTAGACTGTCTTCCTAGTCTAGGACCTAGCCTAGCTACCTGAATTGTACAAATATCTGGGAAATATTTTTTTCAGTTGACTATTATTATGACATATTCTTAATTCGTCACTGGCCAAACGAGAAGCAAAACCCTACCCCTATTGTATCTAATTGGGCAAAACAGATGCATTGCAGTCCATCATTGGATAATATTCTGCACCACAGTTACTATCAACCAACATTTTGTCGGAAAGACGTCCCTTTACAAATACTTCGAAGATCAGCTGCAAATCGTTCTCATCAGACGCGATCGTTGTCAGTCATGGTGCTCGCGGCGCAGCAGCAGCAGGAACGGGCGGAGATGGCTTCATATCTGTACGAGAAGCACCTGAACCACCAGGATGGCGTCGCCGGCACGCTGAGCATCCGCTTGGTGGCAGCACACAACCTTCGTGCAGGCGCCTCCATGTTTTGGGTACGCACATGCAATCCGTATGTGATCTTCCGCGTGGGCAAGCAGAGCGTTCGAAGTGCCACCATTCTCAGTAACGACAATCCCACCTGGCGTCGCGAGTTTCTTGAAGTGAAGCTGCCTAAGCTGGACCACAAGCACCATCCATTGGGGGAGCATTCGGTATTTACGCGAGTGGAGCTTATCGTGGACGCCATGAACGAAGACTCAATAACGGGCAAAGCGACGGAGGCCGTGGGTATGGGCAATGGATCTGTCATTGGCACAGCCGCTGTGGACTTTACGTCTCTTATTGAGGGTAAGGAGGACGTCATGGACCAGTGGATTCCACTCAGCGGTGCGCTGCCAATGGGTGTCGCAACTGGAGGCGCTACGGCAGCCAAAAAGATGCAGGCTGAAGAAGATCTGAGCTTGGGTGAAGTTCGTGTCGTACTGCAGTATGAACCCCACGGCATGGAGCCCCGTGTGGGCGACGTGGTTAAGCTTGAAGGTTATGGGTCTTTTCCGTCAGCGGTGCTTGGTCCCGTGGAAGAATTAGAGCTGCATGTGAAAAAGACGAGTGGCAGCTATTTGCTGTGCAGCTACACGACTCACTCCGGCTATGAAGCTGCGTTACGCGTGCACCGCAACAACGTGTTCGTGACGCACCGCGGTAGCTTCTTCGACCGCTTCTACGAGTCCTTTGTCGTCGAGCCCCTGGAATTCGTGGGCAGCACACCTATCGGGCAGACTGCGAAGGAAGTGCTGCGTCCGTACGTGAATGTGGCTCGTGCGTTCAGCAGCCCGGCCCTGGTTGCGACGAAGGCTACGCTCATGACAACATACCGCGCGTCTTCTGCAGCTATCGGTGCTGTGGTTGCATCTCTGGACGAGTAGGACATGTAGGTAGCTAAGTAGCAAAAAGTAGTAGCTCGACAGGTACAGCACAGAACCGGTAATTATTCAATGATTAGTACTTTCAGAGCGAATGGGTATTAGACCAATTTCCGTAAAAATGATAGCCCGGGTTTTAAATCCAAAACAATCCATACAGTTAATGAAGAGTAATATAAAGTTCTCTGAAAAAAAATTCAGAGCTAAGTATATGTAGTTATTATTAATAATACTTAGTGAGCTGTAAAGATTCAATCTTATTAATAATTGACAAGATTAGTATAAGCTGAGTATTACCGAATGCGAAATTAAATCATCAATATCCGCCAGTATCAGTGTAGATCACCCTACTTGTAATGGCGAACAAATGTTATAATACACGCCGCATGGGTCAGCAGCTTACAAACCAGTCATGAAACAATGATCGCTCTTGTACCCTAAATTGGGTCAGCGCTTGCCGTCTGGTATGCGCTTGCAGGTGCTAAGCTAGCACTTTGGTCTGTTGTTTGACGTTGGAGTTCACTATGAGCCGTGCAGTATTTGGCGTCAAGTCCTCGTGAAACTGAGACGGACAGCATTGTGTTACTTATGTCGCAAAGAAGAATGTCGACTACCTTTTTCTCCAAAATATCAAAAACCATTCGTAATTATCGTTGGTACCAACGCAAAAGCTATAGTTTTACTTTCTGCATGTTAGTTGAATGGTGATGGTGCTGATGCTGATATCGGAGGTGGGGCCCCCGGAGCTGCTAGAGCAGCAATGCTGTGTCGAAATTGGTGTCGGCGGAAACACTCGTGCAACTGGCGCTATGAAAACGACCGACAGTTTGATATCAATTCGGCGACTGATGGTTTCCTCGCTTTAAGAGCATTCCCACCCCGACTGAAACAAGTCAAATTTACCCGCCCGAGTATGAACGCATAAATTGGCGACAGAAACAGTATATTATTAGCAGCGCTGCTAATAATATACTGTTTCTGTCGCCACTTGCAGTTTCTATTAACTGCTCTTGGCGGGTAACTGTCGGAGCTTTTACTAGTGCTGTCAATTCAGATTGAATCTATACTACTCTTGTCAAATTCCCCTTACAAAATATGATTGGTAGGAAAATCGCGGAATATAGATATCTATTGGCTGAAAATTGCACTGTTGATGCCCAATCGTTCTAACCGTCGTTGTCAGCAGTCAATTTGCACTACGGAACGGAACTACTACTTCACCAAGGGCCTGATCTCGCTCTGCAGCATCGAAGACGAGAGCCATGGCGAAGGGAATCAACACGACCAAGGCATCGGCCGACAACCCGAACCGCAAGGCCCCCAAGCGGCAGAAGGCAGCCAACATGCGTGACAAGAGCACCATCAAGCGCCTCAACATGTACCGCAACAGCGGCCCCATCCGGAACAAGGCCGGCAAGGTCGTGGGCGGTAGCCTCATGATGAAGAACAAGGCCGGCGGACAGGAGATTACCAGTGCTAGTGGCCGCGTGCAGCCTGACCGTCGCTGGTTTGGCAACACGCGTGTCGTGGGGCAGAAGGAGTTGGACAAGTTCCGCAACGAAATGTCCCTCAAGACCGCCGATCCGTACTCGGTGGTGCTGCGCACACGTAAGCTGCCTATGGGTCTTCTACAGGAGAGCGAGAAGACGACGCGCATGAAGCTTCTGGAAACCGAGAGCTACGACGAGGTCTTCGACGGTAAGCGCAGCCGCAAACGAGCCAAGATTGCGGCCACGGACTACACGTCTCTGGTCTCCAGAGCACAGGAGAATACAGAAAAATACGAGGCCAAGGGTCCTGATCGCAATATCGCTGTGGAGCAGGAGTTCAAGGACGAGGTCTCCCATGACGTGTTCAACAAGGGCCAGTCCAAGCGTATCTGGGGCGAGCTGTACAAGGTTTTGGACTGCTCGGATGTCGTTATTCAAGTGCTAGACGCCCGCAACGTGCCTGGTACGCGATGCGAGCACGTGGAGAAGCACATCCGCAAGAACGCTTCCCACAAGCACCTGATTTTTGTGATCAACAAGTGCGACCTCGTGCCCAACTGGGTCACCAAGCGGTGGGTACAGAAGCTTAGCGAGGCGACGCCTACACTGGCGTTTCATGCGTCTATGACCAACCCGTTCGGCAAGGGCGCACTGATCAACTTGCTGCGTCAATTTGCAAAGCTTCATCAGGAGAAGAAGCAGATCTCGGTGGGTCTCATTGGCTACCCCAACGTGGGCAAGAGTTCCGTTATCAATGCATTGCGTAAGAAGAAAGTGTGCAAGGTGGCTCCGATCCCAGGTGAGACTAAGGTGTGGCAATACATCACGCTCATCGTCGCATCTTCCTCATCGATTGCCCTGGTATCGTGTACGATACGGGTGACGACGAGGTTGAGACTGTGCTCAAGGGTGTCGTTCGAGCAGAACGTCTGCCCCAACCGACAGACTTCATTCTGACCATCTTACAACGCGTCAAGAAAGAGTTCATTATCAAGGTGTACGGCATCGAGGAGTGGAATGATGAGTGGGATTTTTTGGAAAAACTCGCCAACAAGTGCGGTAAGTTGTTGCAGAAGGGTGAGCCCGACTACAACAATGTCGCAGTGCAGATAATCAACGACTACCAGCGTGGCAAGCTGCCCTGGTTCATCGCTCCACCCATGCGTGCGGAGGAGCTCGCTGCTCTCGAGAAAAAGGGTGACGACGCTCCGCTCAACGAGGCGGAGGCTAGCGAGGATGAGCCTGTGGAGCTGGACGACGATGAGAAAGTAGAGCATGAAGACGAAAGCGCGGAGACGGACAGCGTCAGTCATGAAGTGGACAAGGAGAAATGATCTCATTTGCTATTGCCCTTCGGGTTGTAACTGCAATTATTTTTTCTAAACTACATGTAGATTGTCTTTGGCTTAGCTGGGATACATGTACTAGTTTGTTTCTTCACGTACCATTTTCCCATTATTTATTGCCCGCGAGCAGGAGGACACCTAGAAATACATAACGTCAGCAATGCAAGAACAGAGGAAATAAATAATTGGAGCGAAAACGCTGCAAAGTAGATTATCCTTGTCTTGTTGTAGTTGCCTATATGCAAGCATCCACTGTCGTCACATCCCAGTACGTATCGTTGACCCTAAAACAGACCCTAAAACAACGGTACGTATCGTTGACCCTAAAACAACGATACGTACTGGGATGTGACGACAGTGGATGCTTGCATATAGGCAACTACAACAAGAATTATTTCCAGCGTGAACGACGACAGTCGTTGTGCTCATAGCGTAGCACCATGCAAGCAGAGCTAAACAGCCGTTCAACAACGTTGGATGTCGGTCAGATGATGTCCAGAAGATCGTAACTTACCCAAGTAATTGGCAAACGATGGCTGGATCTCAAGCAGACCATCGAGCAGGTCGCGAACATCCAGCAAGTTGAGGTCGTCGCACTGAAGTTCATTTGATACAGACTCCACGTCTAATAGCTGATCCTTGAGGGCCTTGAGCTAGCGGTTGACTCCTGGAGTGGGCAAGATGTCCGCGAGGTCTTCGTCATCGGCGCTGAGGAATTCACGTAGCTCAAAATAGCGTGACAGCATTGAGTACGTGGACCACCATCGCGTCTCTTGACGAAATTTGGGTTCCAAATGAGTCTTCAGTCTACGTTGATAATTTTTTTAAACAATTAAATAAATAAATAAAATAATTGACATACCGTAGCTTTGCAGCTTGCTTAATCGTGCGTAGGTGTTTCATGAGCAGCTACACTTGGTCGAGGTCCCCCTCATAGAGCAGCAGGAAGCTGCGGACAGTCAGGTTGAGCCGATGGCGACGAGCGGGACTCCCATGAGTCAGGCGAGGCGCTTGTTCACTGCACAATTATCGTCAACTAGATATTTCACATTGGACAGGCTTTTACCGAACAATGATAGAAACGAGGCAAGCGCCGCCATAGGAGTCTATGTGCAGCGGGGCTGCCGTAGCTTTAGCGTCAGAGGAAGACGTTCGACTCAAAGAGTCACTAATACTAAGATCCTTATCCAAAGGAACTTACAGCCCACGACCAGGGCTCAAAGTTAACATCTTAGCTTTTATGCTTCAAAATCAGAAGTGTTTTATTTACTATTATTGCGGCCAAGCCGCCTAGGAGTAAATGTATATGTTTAACAATCTAGCATAGTTAAACCTAATCAAATGCATAACGTATGGCTTTCAGCCAATGTAACGGGGTACATAGCCCTAAGTGTACCCCTAGTAACATGAAGTGTGACACGTCACACTTCGGGATATATGGTACATGGTACCAGGGTCGTCCGAGGCCAACCATTGGCTGATGACATTGCTTTTATATAGGTGACTTATAGTTTGTATACTTAACTCAAGCTTAGTCTACCTATAAATATATTCAGTTTACAGCTTACCTTAAATTGGTCACTTCGCTCCCTTAGGCAAAAGGGGCCTGTGAACTACCGTTCACTGAGAGTTTGTATACTCTCGGAAGCCAACTTCCTCTAGCGCAAGGTGATGTGTGACCCCGTCACACTTGGTAGCACTAGTAGTCAATCCACGTCAACGCGGTAGACTACCTGAACCTCTCTGAAGTTCGTCACCATGGATAGGAACGACTTCTCCCATCTAAACGACTCACAGTTAGAGTCGGTTCGGAAGATGGCTGGCATCTTCGGGATGGAGGCCCTGTAGAGCCTGGTGGCGTCAACGCCGGCGGAGCAGCTCGAGCGTGTCAATGCGTTTGACGCTTACGAGCAAGGGCTCATCGCACATGTGCGGGAAACCTGCAGGCGCCGGCGGTGGAAACAAGTCCGTCACACCTGAAGCCAATACGGCTGAAGGTGAAACCGTATGAAGGGAAGGAAGGTGAGAACCTTCACTTCTGGGTCCGAGAGAGTGAGCTCGCGATGGACGCTGCTCTGATCTCGACCGAGCATCTTCGTGTTGCTTTTGCACTCTCCAACCTTAGCGGTCGTGCTAAGAGCTGGGTGTACACGCGGGAGGCGACATCGCCTGGATGTTTCACATCCTGGGCTCAGCTGTGCGAATACCTCCGAGCTGCGTTCCTTCCGGCTACGTTCGCGCTTCCCCTCATGCAAGCAAGGAAGGCTCGAGCTGCGCGAGTACGCTTAAGAGATACGGGAACTCACGGCGTCCCTAGTGGGAAACCCACTCAACGAGCACGTCAAGATGACAGTGTTCATGGGCGGCCTTCGAGTGGGATCAGCGCGCACTCAGCTGTTCCGGGTGCAGTCAAGCACCCTGGAAGAGGCGATTCATGTGGCTCTTTAGGAAAAATCAGCCATCGCCAGGCGCGCACGCTGGCCTCAGCATGACCAGGGAATTCTGTGGCGAATCGCAGTCGAGCAAACCCCACCGGACCAGTTCCCATGGAACTCGGGTCCACCGAGCAGCGCGACATTCGCTGCTTCGGCTGCGGGAAGCTGAGTGTGGTGTAGTGATTTCTCCGTGGTTGCGGATTATCACCCGTCGACAAAGACGTGACACCGCCCAAGTTGTTCAAGCGACGAACCCTCGGTCGGGTGATGTACGGAGACGCCAAGGTGCAAGGGACTCGACGGCGTCACCTCCGAGTTCTCAACAAATATCGGATACGGCCCTATGTCACTGAATCCAGGCTGTCCTTATTATTAATAATGGACTGGCTGGATTCGCATTCAGCGGACCATCTACGGTACGAAGCCTCAGTGGCGGTTGGGATGAGTTCGCGGAATACTCAGCGACCTTTGGAAGACACGTTAACCGTCTGGGACAGGGCGCGGACCGTTAAAGATGCTCATGCGACGGTGCAGACGACGCTTGGCATGCAAGAAGATCCATAACGGATCATTGTTCACTTGATATTTGTATACTTGATTAGGACTTCTTATTAGGAATAGACCCGAAAGGGTAAGCTTAAATACAGAACAGAATTTCCACTCAAGCACACAGAGCGACGTCCGGCTTCAAGGAAAGCGTCAGGTCAAGCTTGTTTGAGTGTGTTATGCCTGTCGGTGAACTCGAAGCTCTGTAGCGAGGGTTCATCCGGAAAGGCCAAGAGAGTTTGTGTATTGGCCGATTATTATCGGGAGGTTTTACGTGACGGCTTATTGTTGCCTATTTGCACGACTGGGAGTGCTTGAATTGCCTCCCTTTTATTTCTTCCAGCCGAGTGTTGAACACTCGGTGATCTCGTAAAAGGCTTACCCGTGCCTGGTACCCTTCCGCTGTTGGGACCACGAGGATTCAAAACACCTGCTAGCTTTGCTCGTGCTAGTAGCGTGTTCTTATTTTACTGGTTGGCCTATATAAGTAGTTTACAAGGTCCAGTTTGTCCCGGTGCAAGGGCAGAACTGGGGTCTTCAGGTCCGCCCGAACGATCGTTTACTATCCTAGTAGACGTATTGTTGTGGGAACATCCTAACTACATCTGTAGCTAGAGTTCACGTGGGATTTCCAACACCACAACTGGTGCCGCGACCCGGGAACAGATTGTGACCATTGTAAACTGTTTGTATGGCCTTCCAGTTTACGAGCTACCAAGAGAAGAAGAACAAGAAAAAGACAAGAAACATGGCGAAAGGACAACCGACGGTACCAGTTACGCCTACCAAGTCTGGCGGGGCTCGCAACGAGAGTTCAAGCCCGGCTGCGCGCTTTGCAGCCGCCACCGAGCTTTCAGTGAGCTTCGACGACGAAGCGGACATCGGTCTTGACGCCCCACGATTATGAAGATTACGAAGATAAGACGCCGGCTCCAGAGCCCAGGCGCAGCGACGCCGGAGACGGCCACGCTATCATCGGGGCTGAGCGGGGCGACCAAGTCCCTTTCGAGGAACCTCGCCGACGAGCTCGATGATGTTGCGGGACCGGAACCGGCCTATGATGGTTATGACGATGGGACCAAGGGTTTTAAACCTTCGGTGGCGAGTGCAAAGCATTCAGCACTGCTGAAGGCACCTCGTCCACCTATCAACGGTGATACACCAGCCGACAAGCGCGTTTTCGACCGCGTACAAGCGCTGATGCAGAATGATGAGTGGATGCAGCTGTTCAAGCCCATCCCCAAGAAAAAAGCCGACTGGCCTGCGCTTGCGCAGGAACTTCAATACCCAGTCAACTCGGTTTCGACTAGTCAAGTTGCCGAGGATTCAGTTTCGCTACTGTTGTCGCTGGGGTTCGAGAACGAGACGTACCCATCGACGATGTCGCTCCAGGATTGGAGTCCACATGAAGCCGGAGCTGCTCTCCAGAAATGGAAGAAGAAGCTTCGGAAGGCGTTTGGCGCTGTTGGCATCAACGCCGGAAAACAGCCTGTGAGTCGAGCGATCGTTCAAGATGAAGATCCGTCCACGATTCCACTGCCACCGACACCACAACGACTCGTTCGTACTCCTCCGATCAAGCGTGGAGCTGAGCGTGGTGCCTTTGGTACTACCGAAGCTTCACCGTACTTTCAAGACTCGCACATGGTTACGCCACGTTCTGAGAGCCGTATGCAGCGTGTTTACGCTGGCAACGAGGGTTGGTTCGGTAGCCGAGGTGGTCCGCGAGCTGCCAAAGGTGGTGCCGGACGTCGTCAAGTCGACAGCGATGGTTCGTCCAGTGACGATGACATTTTGGTGCGTACATTCGACGAGGAAGATCCATAAGTCGAGTTGATGCGTCAGATGAATGAGCTGGCGACGCTGAACGACGTGGACCCGACACCGAGGATTGAAATGGCATCGCACCGACCGCTGGATCGCATCACGCCGTTCTCAGGCTCTCGCAACAAGAGCGAGAACTGTATGCAGTGGCTCCGTGGGTTCGTCTATGAAATGACTGGAACC